CAGGACATAATGGATTGAGTTTTTTTTTTTCCACTGTGGAGAAGCAAATCTGGTTTATTTTTTTCAAAAAAAAAAAGTATAAATATAAATATTTTTAAAGCTAATAATAAACTTCCCCACATTTGATATATAAATTGTTTATTGAGTTTCAAATAAAAATAATGAAAAGAGTAAATAAAGATCATCCATCCATCTAGCGTCTAGCACAGACATTGATCAGATTTTTGAATGAGCCGAATGAGATGTGAATAACCGTGCGCACGATTTTGTTTAGAGATGTCAGTGCACCCTTGATTATTTTCTTTTTTTAAAAAAATAATAATGATCATAATGGTTATATTATTATTGTCTTCTCCACATTTTGTAAAAGCAGGAACGGACATACACTTTTTTTTTTTATTAATCGAGATTTTGCAATGGGTCATTTTTAGATATTCTGTGCTTTGGCACCGATCAATTATGACCAACCAAATGTGTATGATCAGGTTTTTAATCTAGTTTATTATTTATATTATCGCATTATAATGATTTTTTTAGTAAAAAATAATAAAAAAAAAAATAAAACCAGCACTAAACATGTTTTATTTTCTTAAAAAAAAAAGAGATTTTTTAAAAAAGTTTGAAAATGATGATAAATAATTTGATTTGATAAATAAATAAATAAATAAAAAAAATATAAATAAATATATATATATATTTTTTATTTTTATTTTTATTTAGATTTATTCCTTTTTCTCAATTTAATTCAATTTAATTCGATCACAGGCAGATTTGTTTGTTTTCTTTTCATCATAAGCAAGGGGTTAATTTTTCCCCTCAACAAGATTAATACTTGTTATTAAATATCCCGAATTTCTCGCAATCGATTAATCGAAAATATTACTGGATGGTTTGGTTTGATCAGATAAAACGTGTGACGTATAAAAAACCACATGTTGATATTGATTTATTTCTATGTCGATGAGTATTTATCACCGACGTGTACAAAGATTTTAATTTTTTAAGGAAATATTTTTTCGGAAGGGTCAAACGCTCGATACGTTGGACGGATGAATGAGCAAATGAAAAATCGTGACTCGTTATCAAATTTTTTCATGTCCGAGAGGGGGGATTATCAAGTTTTGATTCAGGTCGAGTGAAGACCATAATAAAAAAAAATATATATATATACACATATATGTATAAATGTAACTCGTTTTTTTATATAAATAATATAAATACTGTCAAAAAAAAAAAATCCACCGTTATTACACAAAAAGTATATTATATAATAATGCATCATTGTTAAAGGAAGAAATGTGGAGAATGCGGGGGGGACCACAAAGATAAAATTGCGGGGTTCAAATTAAAGAAAAACATAGTGGGTATTATTACGATCAAATCTTGCACTACACTAATCATCATATTACTATTTATACATATTTGACACCATTTTTTTTTTTTTAACAAATAAAGAAGGTGGTAATTGTTGGATATATCAAAAATTGCGGAGTACTTTTTGTTTGTTTTACAAATTAAAAAACCGATACCTAATAATTATTGAAAAAAAAAAATAGGTTAGGTATTACCTGATTTTTTATCATATTTTTTTTTTTTTTTTTTTTTTTATATATATCTTATTTATCTTAACACAAAATGGAATTCTAAAATTTTTAATTCACATTTTTTCTTTTTTATATGTGATGATATGAGCAATATATATACACATATATATAAAAAAAAATATATATATTAAAAAAATTAATTTCAGGAAAAAAAAATTTTTTATTTCTATGCCAACATCAGGATAATTTCGGCCAAAATTATGCAAAATCAAGCACATTTAAGCATGTTAAGCAAGGTTAAGCATATTTCTGACTGGAAAATAAAGCAGTGTTCAAATGTCACATTCATAAGGAAATGTTTTAAAAATCATAAAATTCATCCAACTTTATTACAAATTCTGGTGTCTAATTAGAACAATTAACATTTAATTCATAAGTACAATAATTAATGTATATATTCTTTAGTGTTCAATCCTCAATGGACCCATCCTCTTTGGGTGGATAAGTGCATCCCATCCTTCTTCCTTGTTGGCTTAATCTCTCAATTGACGAATGACAAAATTTTTCGAATTCTAGTGACCTGTTTACAATGTTTTTAAAACGGCTTTATATGACCAATTGGCCAATGACTTCTGGTTGAATTAACGATAACCAGACAAACCGTGACCATTTCCTTTAAAGATTAGATTGCATAATTTATGTATTCCCAACATAAGGAACATTATATATATGTATTTTTTATCAAACAATGAAATCCTAGTTTCCTAGATTATTTCATACAGTATATATGTATATGTGTGTGTTTTTTAATGAATTATTATTACCTTTCAAAAAAATCTTTCATAAAACGTAAAAAAATGTTTATACCTTAGCAATAAAGAAATGCATAAGCAGTATTTACTGTAGGAAACTGCGATGATATGTTTTAAAGGAGAAATGTATGTATATGCTTATGACTATTTCTTTGCAAAAAAAAAAAATAATCTAAATTGAGATTATCATGATTGATAAATATAGAAAATGCAAAAAACGCCACACATACACTCTCGAAGTCCTCAGACCCTATCATTCCAAAATATTTTCCGAGGAGAAAAAAAAAAAAAAAAAAATCTGGGGTTTTTTGTTTGCCTAAGTCTCATCTTTAAAATTGTATTATTTAATCCTCCACCAATAAACATTTCGGTGATGAAACGACTATCGAAATGCTAATTAAGAAAAAAAAGATAATTTGGAGATTATCTAAACCGTCCTTTTTACTGACCTGACGATTTTTTTTTTTTTACCGATTGTTGTGATGCAAAAAAAAAAAAAAAAAAAAAATTCCAATTGATAAATGTGGAATAATTTTTATTCTAAAAAAAAAACAATATAATCTTTAAAATACATTGTTATTATAACTAATTATATTCTACATTTATAAAACGCGTAAATAATGAATCAATCTATTTTGAATTTAATTATTCCAAATTACAATTGCTCGTAATTAAAAAAAATGCAAAAAAGGAATCATATGACTCATATATGTTGGCGAAAAAAAACTAGGCAGAAAAAGTAACGTTACAAATCCCTTAATGGTAACAAAAAAAAAAAATAATTAATTAAAATAATTACAGTATTGAAGGTCAAATGACCCATTGTCTGAGCTTGACCATCTTTAAAATGGGTTACTTTAAAGTATTACGCGTTTAACACAATTAAAGAATTAAATAAGATTAGATTAATGTAAAGGAACGCCAAGATGAAATTTGTTGGGGTCCATTTTTGATGAATCAAATATAATAGTAACTGGTTTGTATGATAATATCTCGGAGCCAACTCAGCGGCGTTTTTGATCCTGAGCTGGAACTGAGTAAAATGCATTTCCAAATAATCGGGACTTGATATCCTTTAACTTTTTATGTATACAATTGCGGAAATAATTGTTAAACTGTAATGGGAAATCTAATCTGCAAGAATTTATATCGTCTATTGTATGTAATATCGCGAACAATAAAGGGTGAAACAAAGAGCAAGCAACAGATCCAATTTGTATTCAATTTATAAATAGTCGCGTATATACACTGTTTAAGCAATATTTTCAATTAAAGTAAAAAGGCGCGATTGGAAATTAAAGATAAGTACTAAAACTTGCTCCATTGTTCTTTTTTTTTTTTATTTTATTTTTTTTTTTTTTTTTTGTGGCGTGAGATGTAATTTTTGTTCAATGACAAAGAAAACCAGTAATTGGCTTTTATTAATTAGGAAATTTTTTTTTTAAAAAAAAAAAACTTTATTCCAAAATTGAAATTATCATACAGATTAAAAAATCAACTTGTATTGTCCTTAATCAAATCAAAAATTTTGTTTACAAATTAATCACTATAGTTTTTTGAATCAGTCCTAATGCATCGTTATTTATTTATATATAAATAATGAAAATCCCTTAGAATCAAACAAAATATTTCGTCATATCATCTTTCAATAAATCTTCTTTTATTTAAAATTTATAGGTATGGAAAAAAAATGTTTGATAGTTTACCGTTAAAACAAGTTTTTCCTTTAAATATCAATCACTAGAATATTCTGACGACTTGGACCAATTAAATGAACTCTACGTTAATTTTTTTTTTTTCTTTTCTCTCTTTTTTTTTTTTTTTTTTTTTTTTTTTGGGCAAAAAAAGTTGTAACGTAAACAATAACCCAAACATTATTACGGTATTTCTTAATTATTTCTTTTTTTTTTTTTCCTTTCCATTAAAAAGGGAGAAAAGTTCCATTGTTTTAAAATATTTGTTTATCTTAAAATAAATGCCATATAAGGCTTGTTTTCTTTATATAGCGTCACGATTTACAATTTATTTATTTGTTTATTTCCAGACGGTTTTCTTGTCATTGTAATCATATCAGGAACAATACAATTTTTTCCCAATTGCTTTGACATTTGACCTTTAAATAACTTATTATAATGTTATAATGTCAAAATTCTTAGTTTCGGTTATTTTAATTAAACTTTTGGCGAAAGAAAGTAAATTAAAATATTGATCTTCAAATTGAAAGAAGTGATTAGGCAATTATTCCAATAAAAAAAAAAATTTTTTTTCGTAAATGCAAGGAAAGCTCCTATGATGAAAATATTATCGATGGGAATTGGCAAAGGTAAATTTTTTTGGTTCGCTCCAGATTTTACCATTTCTAAATTTTGAATTGGTACCGTACATACACGTCATTCTAATTTTAATTAGCATATATACACTATGAACGTCATTAACCATGTCGTGTTCAATTCGGTTTAATTAATATCGAATTTTCTCGTCAAAAAGGATAAAATGAATGAGGTAATTGTTGGTGTACATTTTTTTCCCTTTACTTGAATAATTAGAAATTACATTTATTAAATTTAATACAATTAATACGCAATTGTGTAATTTTACAAATAAAAGTAATATGTACTCTAGTTTTCGACCTTTTGAAAATATGTCACATTTTTGGATTTGATGGCGTCATTGGAAAATAATACCCTTCTTCTGCCATATCCAACTGTCCTCAAAGCCCAAACACGGACAAATAAATTTCTGCACTAGTCCATCCTGCGGTGAACTTAATTTACGGGGAGTAAGTCAATATATACTGATGACTGTTCAACCAAATAAAATTTCAGAAATACTACTTTGACGTCGAATTAGCATTAAATCATATAATTATATATTATATAGGTTTTTTTATTTGATGAGTGATTTTTTTTAGTTGACAGGAACTGCTTGGATTTAAACACGCGTTAAGTTTCACTCCCCCTTTTGATCTCGAGATATTTTACATGATTATTGCTTAATACATTCTCTCTCTCGTCTTGATTTAGCTCACTTTTTCTCATAAAGTAAGGAATCCAACCTATTTTTTACTTTTTTACCTCTTACTAAAACTTTGCAATCAATTGCGTTATTTAATTCAATATTCACCGATGATATTTGTCATCTCAACAGGACTGTGTATTGACAAAGTACACACAGTTTTGTGTAAGTTTCGGCCAATATCAACATGAGCGATTAAACCTTCCAATTTTTTAATTTCGAACAAAGTACTATCCCATAACCATCCATCCATTTGCTAATAAATAATATGTTCTGAAAATTTCACCAAAATTATATATGTAATCATGATTTTTTTGACAATTATATTTCATTATATGTGTGGATCATTGCCTTATGTTAAAGTTATCGATGAAGAGCAAATACTTTGGTATTCGAAAGAAAGGAAAGAAAGAGAGTATCTTTAATCAATAATCATGTAATCGACCTTTACGTACCTTTATTGTGATGGGAGATCATATATACATCGTTTCACAAGGAATAGTTTTTTTGAAAGGATTTGATTCAAAGTAATTATAAAGTTCTTCGACGGAATTTTTGCATCAAATAACTTTTCAAGTCATCGGGAGATCAAGCGTTGGTACGATAGGTACGCAACTCCAAGACTCTGGATAGAAATTTGTTTTTGATAAGTGAGTTCACCCTGATCTGTTTAAGCGTCATTTGGTTGGTATTGCTGCTTGTTAGGAAGAGCAGTGTATCGAGGAACAGCATGGTTTGTGCGCATATTTTTTTATTATAATTATTATTATTTTGCAAGGTGTATTTTAATAATTTGATCAATTGTAACAAAAATTCAAGGAGTTTGCTTTAACCGATAAAAAAGTATATATATCTGGAATAAACGATGATTATAGAAGCATTAACATTTAAAGAAAACATATTTTTATACTTAATTATGCAATCCAAGATAATAAAGGAAATAAATATTTTAATAGGTAAATCAGAACGAAAGGAAAAAACAAAAAACGAGAATACTAAATGCATCCCTCATTATATGCTTGTGGAACATATTTTATTACCCAATTCACACTGATGCAGTAAATTATATATTATCTATGTGGGGATAAATAACGACATATTTGCCAATATGATGATGGATCTGACGAGTTGTTTTTTTTAAAAAAAAATGATTATATCCTTACAAAACACGTTTTATTTATTTATTTTTTTTCCAATATTACATTGTTTTTTCCACTTCATCAATGAATGAATGAATGAAAAAATATCTGATATTCACTTGTGAGGTAAACGATTTTCATTCCTGATGTCTCAATATACTACTGCTGACACAACAATGTCACTGATGTCAAATACTTACGCAAGTACGAGAAGGATCTCAAAAATTCTTTTACCTGATCTGAATAACGATATGGCACATTTGCATATCAGGCGTTAGGGACATTCCTCTCCAAAGAAATTAATACGAAAAAAAAATTGCGCTCAACTGCTTTCCGATAAAGGAACTATTAATTTTATTAAGATTGAGCTGTTAGTTATTGAAATAATTATAATATTATAAATCATGTAATCAGAATTATGCCAATATTTTGTAAAAGTATATATTTTTTTTCTCTGTAATTAAATAAAATTTCCGTATTGATTAGACTTCGAAGTTATTAGTTATTTTATATATTTATTTTTATTTATTAAAATCGAGTTATTATTTTTAAGGTTATGCTTATTTTACTTATTCAAAAACATTTTCAAGACATATTTGTAAAAACTGTTTTGAAAAAGATAAAAACTTACCTTTCTTCCACCCTTCTCACAAGTCTTTTTTATATTTTAAACATTCTTAAATTGACAATATCTCATGCATCTGATTGTATTTTTAAATAAAAATGTTTCGTTTAGAAGCTATAAAACCCGATAACTTCTACATGATGAGGCAGGCATATTTCTACAATATAAACTGATTTAACTACAAATCTTGCAAGAAATTAAGTAATACTGTTTCAATTTTTAGCAATGGAACATGCAACATGTTTACTGACTCGGCACTAATTCGTTACAATCAAGCTCTGAAGAGGTCAGATGACGAAAATAGTAGTTTTGGGAATCCTTTTGTTTAAAAACGTTTGACGCGAACCAAAATTGTCAATGGTTTTTTTTTTTTTACGGATGGTTCAAGTGCATGGCGTAATTCTCTATGATAGTCTCAAGGTAAATATATTACATAAAAATTTCATTTAATTTGAATCTTTTTTTTTTATAGACGCGATGATGTATTATTTTATTTATAAATCAAATTCAGTTAAAAAAAAAGATGAAATTCCCAAGAAGGGTACAAATGTAGAAAAATAAAAATACTGCTTAATGTACTTCGCTAGATAGACTAGCTCCTACCAGATTAATCGATTGTCCTGTCTAATTCTGATCACAAATATTTACTGAGTAATCATCATAACCAAACTAAGTGAAAGAAAAGTTAAAACAACTGGTTATCATCAATCTAAAAAGAGACCAATGGTAATAATTGGATAAGTATTATTATTTTGTATGAAGAAAAATGTTAGAAAAACTGTCAATTGAGAAATGAACATTAGAAGAAGCAAAATTGCTTTTTTTAGTTGTTTAGTTATATGTAAGAAATGTTCTTTATTAATAATTAGCTCACATCTAGTTTTCCAAAATAGATTATAAGTTTGATTGAAAACAAAATCAAAAAAGATGCAAGAATAGAAATGGTTAAAGAAGAGGATTTAGTGAAGAAAGTAATAGTGTTAAAAGAATAAAAGGAATAATGTCTTTAATAATTAAATATAGGAGTTTGGCTTAATAGATCAATTATTATATAAAGGATCATAAAGTTTATTGATATCATAAAAAAAATTCTTTAAAGTTTGAAGAAAATCTGTTATTTTAAGTTAGTGATAGAAGCAGCAATAATAGATTTTAATGTCAATTTGATAATCAGATATAACTATATATGATTAAAGTTTTTATCTTAATTATTATAGCAATAGCATTTCTAAATATTAAAGTAGAAAGCTAGTTAAAAGCCTTTATGAACTAAATGGTAGAAAGTTATTTTAAAAAAATTTGAGTTTGTAACTATAATATTTGTCACTTTAATGAAATAATATTAGCAGAGTCTGATTGTATAAATTTGAAGATCAGAATTGAATTTACTTTTAAATATTGATATTTGATATTATATTTAAAATAATAATAATTAGTAAAATGTTTGATATTTAATTAAAATGAGAATTATATTAAATATAAAAAATGTGATTAAAAGAAATTTGTAAAAAAGAAAATGTAAGAAAGATTTTGTAAGACAATTAGTTTTATCATTAAAAAAATCATTAGAGTAAGTAGTAACTTTTAAAATAATTAAAGTAATTTATCATTCTTTTATGATTTTAAAAATAATTGACTAAAATATATAAAAAGAAATTCTAAACATTAGTGAAGAGTAAAAGAAAACATTAATTATAATAATATAATTATAGGTATAGTGGGATACCACATATAATATAATCATATTATATATGATATCCCACTTAGCCTAGATTATAGTATCACATATAATTTAATAATACAGTTTAAATACCACATATAATTTAATATTTAATTATTTCTTATATCACTTTTACATTCTAGCTATGTTTTTAAGTTTTTCTTGATATTCATATTTTTACTAATATACTTTTATTACTATAATATAATCTAATTACCATACACATATAATTTAAATACCATGTATTTCTTTTTGTTTCTAAGTTATTTACATGCTAAATTCTATAATTGAGTTGTTGATCCTCTATAGCTATTTGAATATCTGGTTTTATGTTAAAGATACTGGTCTCCTACATCTGATTGAGTGCTAGATTCTATATTAGAGTGCTTACCCTTTATGTCTATTTGGTTGTCTTTCTAGATCCTAAAATGTAGTAAAAATATTGTATCAGATAGCACAGTAAATCTGCATTTAATTTTGGCTGATTTTTAGGCATATAGTTTGAGAAGTCATCATGATAGTGACCTGGTAATATCCTAAAGCTGTCATAGAATTAGTAAGAAACTATCAGGATGCTAGAAAGGTTCCTATTAGTTTACCAACTTAGATGCTGAATTATTATATTCAAAGATCTAACTAAAATTATGGAATAGTGTTGGCTGAAATTAAATGATTGCCAAAAGTGCGTCATTCTATAATCTAACTATTGTGCTAGTATATATTTTACATCTGAGATTAGAGGTGTGATATATATTATCATGATCAGCCATTTATACTATACCTGAGTACATATCTAGAAAAATGGGGTCTTCTTCTAATTTTTTATATAATAATTCTGAAAAAGGCTCCACTTTCAGATACATATCCATTTCTCTTTCATTCATGATTTGTGATAGTATATGTATACCAATTTCATATTCATTATTAGAGATGCATTATATATTATTATGGCTGACTCATTTATACCATACCTGAATACATATCTAGAAAAATATAGTCTTCTTTCAATTTTTATATAATAGATTACAAAGAAGGCTACACTTTTCAGATACATATATATCACATATACCCAGTTATATACTATTAAGATAAAGTCCTAATTTTTTATATAATATTTCTAAAGAAGGCTTTATATCATGCTTAGGTATATGTCTAAAAAAATAAAGCCTTCTGCTAATATTTATATAATAAAATACGCAGAAGGCTTCATACCATACCTGGGTACATGTCTAGAAAAATGAAGCCTTCTGCTAATATTTATATAATAGAAATATGCAGAAAGCTTCACTTTCAGTTGTATATTCGCTTACCTTTTATTTATGATTTGTTTACTAGCTTATTATACGTCATTTTTTACATTCATAAAAAAAAATAATTAACATTTCAGAATTATATTGGAGTATATAAAGTTTTACTTACTGATAACATGCGTATCTCAACTATTTTTAACAAACTAATTAAGAAACTCTCGTCTACTACAACAGCACTGATGAATACTTGAGTGACTCAGATAACTATAATGATGAATCTGATTTAGGATCAGATGATTATAATAACTATGAGTCTAATTATGAATCAGATAATGAAGAAGCTTTTTATACTTCAACTAGCATTATCAAGACTCCATTTATTTAATCACTAAATATAAAAGAGCGAAAGAATAATGTGACATATACTTTAAGGCAGGAAAAGTTTAATGATAATTTTTTTTCTAAGGATTTGCTAAATGCTATTCGAAAAATTTTTCTATTACTATCTAGAGATATATC